TGCAGCGAACTGGAGGCCCCAGCCTACCACCAGGAGACGGCTACGGCTGTCTGGCAAGATGGCGGGGTAAACATTCTCGTCTACGATATAATTTTCTCGAATTTTACGAAATTAAACATTTTTGAAGACTGACTTTTCAAGATCTTTTTCTGAACAGAATTTGATGGGTAGGTCAACACTGCTTCTCTGAATTAAGAAAATAATAAAGATAACTTTGAGGATGTTTATACCCGAGCTTTGTGTGGCGGCCGAGTGTATTCACCTAACTTTACTGTCTTGGAAGTACAATGGCTGCCACACGACCTAACGCTACCTGAGTGTGCTGGGGTAGGTTAGGTTAGGTGAGTGTTAGACTAGTTTAGCGTTAGGTTAGATTAGCATTAGGGTTATTAATCTCAGGGTGAAATAAACTAGGGTGTGGAATCGTTAAGTGATCCACGTGTTGTGTTGTTGACCTCTTGAGTAGTAGTTCCTGGACGCGTAATAAATGGAAACCAAACCTTAGATTTTAGAGATTGTCACCAGGCGGACCACGGTGAACTCTCTCTCTCTCTCTCTCTCTCTCTCTCACCCTCCCTCTCTTCCCTTCTTATCATCTTCCCCTTCTTGTTTTTTCTTTCCCGCCTCACTTCCCTCTCTTCCTTCCTTATCATCTTCCCCTTCCTGCCTTCCTCCTCCTCCTTCAGTCCCCTGCCTCCTCGTTCCTCTCCTGCACCCACCCTCCTCCTTTAATCTCTCCCCCCCCACCACCGTCTTCCCCCTCACTCCCTTCTCTCCCCCTCCTCCCTACCTCTCCCCTGCCTTCCCATCTCTTCTCCCCTTCCCTTACCACCACCACCACCTCCCTTCCCCCTCCCTCTTACCTCCTCCTTCCTCTAAGTATTCCTTCACTATCTAGAACATATCATTCCTGCCCTAACGACATTTTTAAAACAAGCTGAATTCAATTTTTGCAGAGTCGCTCGCCGGAAAAAAAGGAATTGTTTGCAGGCGTTACAAACCTAATCATCCTGGTTCTTCCCCTTCCTCCCACCTCGTCCTCCTCCTCCTCCTCCTCTTCCTCCCTGTCTCCCTGGATTCCACCTCCGTTGATCTGCATCCCTATAACCCACTCCTCCCCCCCCCCTCCTCCTCCCTGGCCACCACCTCTGTTATCCTCCCTTGTTTAGTCTCCTCCACAAAGTACAATAAAGTTTTTAACGAAACATTAACTTATACAGACGAACCAGGTGTGTGTGTGTGTGTAATGGTGGTAGTGGTAGAATAGTGGTGGTGATAGACTGGTTGTGGTTAAGGTTGTCTGTGGTGGTAGTTGTAGGAATGGTTGTGGTGGTGGTGGTACGAGGTTGGTTGTGGTGGTAGGAGATTGGTTATGGTGGTGGTGGTGGTAAGAGGCTTGTGTGGTGGTAGTGGTAATGATAGTGGGAATTGTGGTGATGGTGGTAGTAGGAGGTGGGTTGTGGTGGTTGTGTTAATATTGACTGGTTGTAGTTTGTGGTGGTTGTGGTAGGAAAATGGTGGTGGCCTCTTAGCACCACCATTCTACTACAAGACTCCTTCCTCCCCCTCCCCAACACACCGTCTAGTATTGCCCGCATTGCGTACACAGAACGGCCCCCCCCTTCTCCACACCCCGTCCTGCGTCAGCCCCCCCCCCCCTTCTCTCTGTTCCTTAGTTATCATTCTTTACTCTTTTTTCTCTCCTTCTCCTTATCCTCTTACTTGAGCCTTTCCTTCCATCCGTTCACTTTCCCATCTCTCTCCTTCCGTCTTTCCCCCATCTCCCTTCTTCTCTCCCTTCCTCCCTCCTTCCACCTTTTCCATCTCCCCCCATCTTTCTCTTCTCTGCCATACCTCCGCCTCCTCCGTGATCAACCGCCTTACACACATGTACCCTGTTTGGTTAGGTTAGGTTAATTAATCATCAGGTGAAATAAGGTTAGGTGTGACTAATATTCAGGTGATCCGTATGTTCAAGTCAAGACAAGGAGTTACATCTACGTGTATGTCTGTATATATGTATGTATGTATGTCTAGTACCTAACCTAACCTGACCTGACCTAACCTAACCTAACCTAACCTGACCTGACATCTTCTACAACACAACTGACGACACAACCACCCTCCACCTTCTGTATAGGCTGACGGTGTGGCTGACGGTGTGGCTGACGATATTGGTTCACACACACACACACACACACACACACAAGGAGGCACAGTACATTTATTAACCCGTAAAGTAGAAGTTGTATTATCAATCTTAAATCCCGTATAGGCTGTTCTTAGGCTCCAACATGTTACCAGCTACCTTATATTTGATGCTAGGCCTATAAGATTTACGAGACTTGGTTCATAGGCTGTTAATACTGGCAGTTAGGACTATTATCTTCCTCTGTGTTTACTAGCGACTGGCACTTGTTTTCATGGTTAGGGATGACGTCACTTCCCGTCAACAAACAGAGTAGGAACGATACATACATACATACATTCTCTCTCTCTCCTGAACTTCCATTTTAATAATTTTGTTTTTCACTCCCCTCCCCCATCTGTCTAGTGACCCACCCACATATCCACCCACCCACCCACCCAGCCACGTATCGTAGTGAAGATGACACCAGTAGCCACAACACAAACTACTCCATGACATCGATAAATCAATACTTAAGTCACTAGTAGCCAGTATAGTCTAGTGCAGAGCTCTACCTCGTGCTAGTTCCTCGTGGGGGAGCGTTCATGGCAGACGCTTGTTGGAGTGTGGTAGTGGTGGTTGTTGGATAGTTATTGTGGTAGTAGTTGTTGGATTGTGGTAGTGGTGGTTGTTGGATGTTGTGGTCGTAGTTATTGGATTGTGGTAGTGGTGGTTGTTGGATGTTGTGGTCGTAGTTATTGGATTGTGGTAGTGGTGGTTGTTGGATGTTGTGGTAGTAGTTATGGTAGTGGTGGTTGTTGGATGTTGTGGTAGTGGTGGTTGTTCTTGGCTAGTTGTTGGATCGTTGTTTATGCTGGTAGTGGTAATAGTTGTTGGATTGTTGCAGTGGTAGTAGTTGTTGGATAGCTGTTGTGGTAGTGGTAGTAATGCTAGTTACCTGTGTGGTGTAGGCGGTATTAATGAGGGGTTTTAACACTAAGGTAGTTACGGTATTACACTTCAAACTACAGGTGACCATTGGTGTGTAGTGATTGTTATCTTGTAGTTAAGAGAGGTTGTTGAGTTATAAATGAAGTGTAATGGTCGTTAGTGGAAAAAAATATTTTGTTTCGACAATTTTTCATAATGTTTCGTTTCGTTCATGACAGTGATGTTAATAATTATGTTAAGTGACGTCAACAAACCACTACAGTCTGTTACTTAGCTATTAAACTTACATAATACCAAGAGCTCTTAGTGGCAACATCATGCTAGGCGTTACAAGGTTCGTTGAGAGAGTTGCGCGTCTGGTTAATCGGGATTCTGGAGTCGAGGGATTTTGTTTGTTTTGTAAAGGTGTTGGCAACAGTGTCAGAGGGGTGTCAGGCGTCACAAGGAAGGGTCGCTGGGCTGACATTGCGCTCGCCAGGTGTGTCAGCAACAGCTATTCCTCATTCCCGCTTTAATCAACAAATATAGAAAATAACATGAAAACATTTAGTGAGAAATACTAGAAATCCTAAATGACATCAGATCACCTGCTGATTAGGCCCCTCAGCTTAGTTTGCCTGATGATTAACACCCAGCCACTAACCTAACCTGACCCTTCAAGAAGTGTTAGGTGTGATGAGGGAGAAAGGTTGTATAGTGACGGAGTTGTAGTGAAGGAGGGAGGTGTGGTGAGGGAGGGAGGTCAGGGAGTGTTAGAGAGTATCAGTGAGTCAGTGAGAATCAGGGAGTATCAGTGAGAGTCCGTTAGAGTCAGGGAGTGTTAGGGGGTGTCAGGTAGTTGTTGAGTGATAACATCGACTGTAACTCTTGATGGCTAATTGGTTCAGTAACTGCTGCCACTGATGTATCGCCACACACACACACACACACACACACACATCTTGTAGCAGGTGACGATAACTGTAGTTTTGTAAATATGTGGAGAGAGAGAGAGAGAGAGAGAGAGAGAGAGAGAGAGAGGAGAGAGAGAGAGAGAGAGAGAGAGAGAGAGAGAGAGAGAGAGAGAGAGAGAGAGAGAGAGAGAGAGAGAGAGAGAGAGAGAGAGAGAGAGAGGCTGGTTTGAAAAAAAATCGGTTTTTGCAGATTCTAAAGAGTGGGTGCTTAAAGGCAAAAGTGAGGTGTAAAATTTTGAGAGTGGTGTGTGTGTGTATACAGTGTGTGTGTGTGTACAGTGTGTGTGTGTGTGTGTGTGTGTGTGTGTGTGTGTCTCACTTATCCTTCTCTCTCTTCGCCCTTCTCATATTTTTTGTTTCAAACTCTTTTCCTCCTCATTTCCTCCCTTCGCTCCTCCTACACACACACACACACACACACACACACACACACATTTATATAATTCATTTATATCTCAGTTTTCCTAAGTCTTATAAAAGGGACATTACTTTATATTCTACGGTGGTCCTGTCGTGAAACAATCAAATTAGTGAAGCTCAAGCGATTAAAAGAGTGAGTAATTATTTGTAGCCGAGGAGCATTAAATTGAGCATAAAATAATTTCTCGGGAGGGAAGGGGAAGGTGGAGGGGGGTAGGGAAGGAGGGGGGAGGAGGGTGTCGATGAAGAGGAGGATTGGTAGGGGATGAGAGGGTGGGGAAGGAGTGTTGTAGGGGAAGGGGAAGAGGTGTCGATGGAGGGGGGGAAGAGGGGGGGAGGGGGTGTTGTGGGGTGGGGAGGTGGACGAGGCGGTTTTTAACAAGTCGACTCAACATATTCTGGCGACTCACCAAATACCTCTGCTGGTCCTCTATTATGTCGTGTGTGTGTGAGAGAGAGAGAGAGAGAGAGAAAGAGAGAGAGAGAGAGAGAGAGAGAGAGAGTCGCTGTCACCTCCCTCATGTACCGGTACACAGTGCTCAGTTGTGCCTTGATACGTACACAGCTTAGTATAATGTGTGTGCTCGTGTCTGTGTCTTGTGTCGATCTGGGACCTACTAACTCTTCTGGTGTACATGGAACTTACCTCAACGTACACACACACACACACACGTACACACAGCGAGGCAGTAAGTATTTTTTATTTCCCTTTTAAACGGTGCGGTTAAAATGGCGATCTGATTATACAGTACCAAGTGTAACTCACAGTACCAAGTGTAACTCACAGTACCAAGTGTAACTCACAGTACCAAGTGTAACTCACAGTACCAAGTGTAACTCACAGTACCAAGTGTAACTCACAGTACCAAGTGTAACTCACAGTACCAAGTGTAACTCACAGTACCAAGTGTAACTCACAGTACCAAGTATGACTCACAGTACCAAGTGTAACTCACAGTACCAAGTGTAACTCACAGTACCAAATGTAACTCACAGTACCAAGTGTAACTCACGTGTAAACAAGCATTAAGAGTAAACAGCTGATCGTGTCTTATCTCTCCTGGCAACATCCGGCCAAAACCGATAATGAATTTCCCGGCTTATCAAACTTTATGACCCATTTACGTGAAGGTCATGGGGGCTTTAACCAGTAATCGCTAGACTGTTAAGTTGGTCACCCAACAAGGAAAGATTTTAGTAGTATGTAGTGTGGTAGTTTGATGACGTTGGTGGTAGTAATTGTGGTAGGTGGTGGTATAACTGAAGTGACCCTGTAGACGATGACCTAAGCTAACCTAACCTACATAAAATGGCTCCCTATTGGCCATTGTCGAAGTAACTAAGACCTTCATGTGCGTTATTCTTGTGCTAGACTGTAAACAATATGTAGACACAAGGAAAAACAGACAGACACAGACAGACACAGACAGAGGGTAGATCTTATAGTACAGAGCTTCAGTGTGTGTTGAAGCTCCTGGTTGGTGTGGCGCGACTGACGGACCACAGGAAGCTTGAGTCACCCCCACGGACCACAGGAAGCTTGAGCCACCTTCTCGGACCACAGGAAGCTTGAGTCACCCCCACAGACCACAGGAAGCTTGAGTCACCCCCACGGACCACAAGAAGCTTGAGTCACCTCCGTTGACCACAAGAACCTTGAGTCACCCCCACAGACCACAAGAAGCTTGAGTCACCTTCACGGGTCATAAACCTTCTTGGACAGTGAGGTGTGCCGTCTTCGTTACGTCACGAATACCACCGAGGTTATTGGGCCGTGAATATCGTGTCTGTAGAAGGCGAGGATGGCGGTGACGCTGATCACTAGAGTGGGTCATCTGGCGGCACATACTGACGTCAGGGGAAAAAATACCTGTGGAGACTTAATGTTTCCTTGTGTGTGGTGTTGGGACATTTCTACCTACTTTAAGCAGCTTATGGCGCCGCTCATCCCTCTGTGTGTGGTGAGGGGGGGGGGTGGGTAGGGAGGGGAGGGAAGGAAAGTGAGACGTTATTTTGTTCCTGATCGTTTCTGAGTTTTGTTATTTTCTTTTTCTTCAAGTAACTAACAAGATTAATTTTCTCTCTCCTGGACGTAATGGGAAAGTAAGTTGGTCGAGCCGGTACCGACGCTTCTACAAGAGTGATCAAAGATTTCTCATCTTCTTTTTAAGTATCAAACTTTCCTCCCAAGTCGTCCGTCTCCCCGCACGGCAACACCGACAAAAATTGGCCGTTGTCTGGGCCAGTCCATTCATCCGAACACTGCAAGAAAGTCAGCGCTAAGTGCCTTCTCCTCCATTCCAAATCCCAGTAATACCGAGAGACATTCATTCTTCTCCCGGTAATGCCGAGACGGATAGAGAATCCTTCATATCGCAGTAACACCGGGAGAGAGAAGCCGTCCTCCAGGTCCAACCCAGTAATACCAGGACAGGAACACCGGGAACTACTGGTATACTCCCCAACACGTCGCCCACTAATGGTGTAAATAAAGCAGTGATCTAGTGTGACTCCCGGGACGTCTTAAACGTAAATGTCATTAAGTTATTCTTAAAATTAAATAAGAAAAGAGGCTGACATAACACTACAGCCTAGCAGGAAGACCTCTTAATTGTCATCACAGGCGCGTGGTGTACCCCAGCAAGACAACCCCTCTCCTCCTCCCTTCCCCTCTCTCCCCTCTTCCTCCCCTCCCTCCATCCCCATCCACTTCCCAAACAGCCAATGAACGTCAAGGAATGGACAATAAATAACGTTAATGATGTCTGGGGTCTCTTGACGCGTGTAAAGGCGAGGGGTGAGGACAGAGGGTTTGTCACATTCTCAACTCGAGATAATCTACCCATTTTATTACCCTTGTTGAGGTACCTGGTGGGTCTCAAAGGGTTTACCTCCCCGCTACTACCCTACCCACGACCCACTCTGAGCTCCAGTGTGTGGGTGGAGACGAGAGCAGCAGTATGTGAGGTGATGGAGGGAGGGGACACCACCTCACCTCACCCCCATCACCTCACCACTCATCAATAGCTCACCTCAACACTGTCACTATCCATCCATAATGTTTAAGCAGATTACCTGTATGGTGATGATAGTGACGTAGATATAGTATTTATTTCACTCAGTAAACAAAAGCTCTCGATCTGAAGCACCTCATGGCACGGGTTCGAATCCATCCAAGGACCTTCTCTACACACTGACAGATGTAGTGTTTCATAGAGCGAGCGTGAGGCATGGGTGAGGGCAGAGTGATATATTGTTAAGTTAAAGCTTCTTGTAAATATTAGTATTACAAATGATGCAGCTCAGAGACTCAGCCATCAGGTAATGTCTCACACCGTCAGCTTGTCATAAATACGTCGTGAAGGTGATGCATGGTTAATAGGTGGGTGGTGAGAGGTGTGACAGCTGGGTGTGGTGGAGTGGATGTGGGGTGGTAGTGTTGGGGGTGGTGCAGATTGTGGAGTGGGTGTGTTAATCCGGGAATAGTGTGTTGTGGGTGTGTTGAGATGGCATGGTGGTAGTGTGGGGTGGTGTGGTAGTGTGGGATGGTGTGGTAGTGTGGGGTGGTGTGGCAGTGTTGAGGTGGAGTGGTATGGGTGTGTTGCTCCGAGAATAGTGTGGGTTGGTATGATGTGGGTATGGTGAAGGCAGGGGGTGGTATTGAGTGGATGTGGATGGTAAAGGCTACGGGTGGTGGTGGTGTGGGGTGGTGGAGGCTGGGAGTGGTGGAGGCTGGGAGTGGTGGAGGCTGGGAGTGGTGGAGGCTGGGAGTGGTGGAGGCTGGGAGTGGTGGAGGCTGGGAGTGGTGGAGGCTGGGAGTGATGGAGGCTGGGAGTGGTGGAGGGCTGGGAGTGATGGAGCTTGAAGTGGTGGAGGCTGAGCAGGAGTCTGGGAGTGATAAGGCTGGGAGTGATGTAAGGCTGGGAGTGGTGGAGGCTGGGAGTGGTGAGTCTGGGAGTGATGGAGGCTGGGAGTGGTGGAGGCTGGGAGTGGTGGAGGAGAGCAAGATATTGCCGGGCGCTGTAGTTCTTGAAGTTGGTGTAATCAAGTGGAACATGCTATCTTAGCGGGGTTGTTTATGAGGGTGAGGGGTATGGGGAGGGCAAGGGGCACGGCTCATGAGACGTGGAGAGGGGTATATGGGATGATTTCCTCCTCCCTCCCCACTCTTCCTGAGATATGAATGGCGTCACCACATTTGTCTAAACCTTTGTTGGCTTCCTCCTGACGCATCACCTCCCACCTCCTCCCTATATCCTCCCACTTCTCACTCCCACCCACCCCTTCACCCCCCCACCCCTACACCACCTCTCCTCCTCACCCCCCCTCAATTCTCACCAACCTCAGCTTCACACACACTTTATAGATCTGTCGTCATCGCCTCTTAGTAATTATTATCCTTAATATTATTTCATGAAGAAGATTAGTGTGTGTGTGTGTGTGTGTGTGTGTGTGTGTGTGTGTGTGTGTGTGTGTGTGTTATGATGACTTCATTTTAACAGCCTAGTTGTGGGCCATTTTCTTGTAACACTTTGTACTTTTGGATACTTATAATTCTGTCACTTAATTACTTGAAGACACTGTGAGTAGCTGAGTGTTGCTGTTTATTGTAACACTTTAAATAAATCTACACTTGGGATATATTTAAGAGAGCTGTAACTGACGTCTGCTACAAGGCGCCTGGCTCTGTTATGTACTGTGTGGAGCTGACCTTTGACCTTGTTAGAACTAGAAGTTAGGTTAGGTTAGGTAAGCGTTAGGATGCTTGATCATCAGGTGAGAATCGTCTTTGGAGGGTTAATCTTCAGGTGATCCTAACGCCCAAATCTCATAAACAACTGAAGATATTATCAAAGGGTTATCAACAGGTCGTTTATGTGGTCGTTATCTAAGGTATTAATGGTTGACTGATAAAGGTCAGAGGTCAAAGGTCAAGAGGTCAGATTTTCCTGTAGGTGAGGTGAGGGTGTGGATGAGGGTGTAGGTGTGGTGAGAGGTGGATCTGGGTGGATGGTGTGTTCGGGGTCAAGATGGTTCCGTTCTGAAGTGTCTGTACGTCCGTCCGTCTCACCACTACCACCATTACCACCACCACCATCACTACCACCACCATCATCATCATCATCACCACCATCATCATCACCACCACCATCACCACCACCACACAACCACAACCACAACCACCACCACACCACCACCACCCACCACCACCACCATCACTACCACCACCACCACCATCACCACCACCACCACCACCACCACCACTACCACCACCACCACCGCTCTTGCCACCACTCAATATTCCCGGTTCCTGCTCCGATCTCCCGTCCACCTTCCTTACCAATTCTCGCCCTTTCCTCCAAGTCGTTTTCTTTCCTCTTCCTCTTCCCCCTCCTCTTCCTCCACATTCTCTTCCTCTTCCTCCACCTCTTCCACTTTCTCGTCCTCTTCCTTCTCCTCCTCCTCCATGATTTATTATATAACTTGATTATTTTCTTCTTTATATAGAGGATTAATTGAGCCGTCATTCTCCTCATAAGGGTTTCAACACTATTAGGAAATCCTTTTAGGGAAATGAAATCGTACCTGAGAAAGAGGAAATATATATATTAGTTTCCCATAACCAAAACCCAACCAAACCCCAACTAACTCCAACCAATCCCAACTCAATCGCAACCAACTCCGACCA